TAGCACCCATTCTTAGTGATTTGTTTTTATCTGGTCTTAGTATTACCTTGTCTAAAACGCTACAAAACACCAAAGTGTGCAAAGTTTTTCGCTTTGTCGACGACTTCCTGTTTTTAATTGACTGCACTTCTGTTGACGTAGAGGTGAGCGTTGATGATGTGTTGCCGGCGATTAAGGGATGTCTTGCGCCTCTGGAGGTCACTTGCGAACTTCCACAAGGGGGTTCTATTCGGTTTTCTGACCTCAGGTTATATTTCTCGGAAAATCAGACGTGCTGGTCGTACGAGCCTAATGTACGTGTAGTTTTTTCAGAGCCCAAGAAACTAGTTGAGCTTTGCAAGCTCACTTGTCCAAGAAATGTTGCTCCCCCAGCTTGTGTGATAAGAAACACCACGTTCGATTCGTTGTTTGTGTATCCTGTGTCATCTACAACTTTCCATTATCCTGCGGGATGTACTATATTAGGCAAACAAAACGGTGTCTGAATGACAGATTACGCGAGAAATAAACTTACGGCGGGTGGATTCCTGGCGGCACACTGCAAAGGTTGTGGGTGCTCCCCTGATCTGTATAGTTGCATAGTTATCGGTCGTTCTAGAGATCGGCTCACACAGGAGATAAAAGAAGCCGATGCTATAGAAGAATTAGGCCATTTGTGTGTAAGCTCGTCATCGATTTCCTTGTCAGAAAAGGAAATGACGCTCCTTGGTTTAAGAACACGTGCAAGATGAGTTGTGCTTTGTCCCAGATGTATAAAATGGGTGTGATTGGCATGAAATAATTAGTTGGAAGTTTAGTGCCTACCTGTCTCTACGTCTGTGTCGTGTCCCTTCTTTTATGTACTGCGCTAATACACGCTACGTACAGTGATATATTTGCTTCAGATTTGGGTTTGCTCCGAGGGCCGCCAGTACACCTGACCGTCAAAGAAGGCGCGAAACCCCAGTTTTGTAAGGCTCAGACGGTGCCGTATGCGCTCAAACAAAGTGTGTCAGCAGAGTTAGATCGGCTAATGAACGAAGAGATGTTATCACCGGTGAAATCTGTCCTAATTGGCCACACCCATTGTGCCCATAGTCAAGAAAGATGGACAGGTGCGATTATGTGGTGACTTTCGTCTTATGGTGAACGCCGCTACCATTATGGAGCAATATCCGCTGCCGCGGGTTGACGATATCTTTGCGAATTTCAACGACGGAAAAGTTTTCAGCACATTGGACTTGCGGAAGGTCTATAATCAGTTGCCCCTTGACGAGGACTCGATGAGGTTAGTCATATTGAACACTCACAAGGGTCTCTACTGTTTCGACAAGCTGGCGTTCGGAGTGTCGTCAGCGCTAGCAATTTTCCAGCGGCGTATGGAGGCAGTGCTCAGAGGGATTCCCGGCGTGCAGGTGATATCGTCGTCTAAATTAGTTAATAAATGTATGTATGTTGTATGCTTTGTACCGACCGCGTCTGCTGTGTTCGTTCACTTTAAGAGCGTGGCGTGGCGATGCGCTCGTTCGCCTCGCCAAGACCCCACACTGGCGCCCAACGTGGGGCTCTTGGAGTATCGGACGACAGTTTTTGCGGTTCAATACAGAGATCTTGTTAGAGCCAGAGTAGAGTAGGCCTAGGAGGGACTTCTTTGCTAGCGTCGGTGGTGTGCTTTGTTGAGAAGCGAGGAGTTTGGTTTTGTAGCGTGTTTGAATTTGACGGCAGGCTGGCTTTCTATTTATTTTTTTTGCTCGCAAGTGTTGTTATTTTTTGTGGTTGTTAGTTTTCAAAAACGTTGTTGAATTAGGACGAGAGCCATGCGGTCCGCATCCTGGGGTGAGCAAGGCCTAGAGCACGTGGTTTGTAGGCCAGGCCCGAAACGAGTGAGTATGGAAGCCTCGTGAGTGGTCCGATTTTCTGTAAATAGCTTCTTCTATATCTTTGGGCTCAGGGAGCCGGGCGTCGTTGCTGTCTGGTATTGCGGCTTGACGCCGAGGCGTCGTGACACCGCCCGGGGCGGTGGACGCCGATCGCTCGGTAAGCTGCTGTGTGCGGCGAGCGATAGGGCCACTTCACAGAGTGGACGTCTCCTCGCGGCTGCCTCTTCTGCGCCTAGGCTGGGTGGATGCTGGTTGTTGCCGAGCGACTAATTAGGCCTAAGGCTCTGCGCAGCCGCCTGTCGCACGTGGCACAACTAGGTGGATCGTGGCGTTGAGGTGTTGCGCTCTGCTTCCCTCACTTTTTTTTATCTTGCAATGCACGAGTTAGGAAAAGTGATTTTTGTTTTATTTTGATGGGCGTCTCGGCCGCCACCGATGTATTAGCTAGCAGCACTGACCAACGTACCACGTGGACGAAAAGCTCAAAGCTCTCTTCCCGAGGACCTGCTCGATAGTTTTCTTTCAAGTGTGTTTGTTGTTGTTATTTATGTATTCGGCGGGCGCGAGTGCTGGTCGCAACTGGAAGACGTGTCGGCGCTAGCGACGGATCGTCGCGCCGACGTTGCTGTTGCGGGGCCGGTACTGAGGTGAAGTCTAGCCGGACAGTGGAGCTGAGTCGACCAGAGGCGGTGTCGTGGTGCAAGGACATTATGGTCGTACAATATCATTTTTTTTGTTAAAGTTTGTGTAGCTACTTTTTGATTTCGGGATGTGGTTTGATTTAAGGTTGGGGGAATGTGGGGGTGCTGACACCCCCTCTGTAAAGTTGTCTGCGCCGCGTGGCGCACGTGTCTCGCCCCAAGGCTTTATTTCGGTGGTGACCACCGCCGGGCGATAGATGGCGTTGTGTTCGCTTTGAGTACCACTGTTGGTAGAGTGGTAGCGCTGGCGGTGGCCCCTGGCGGAAGGCCGGCCTTGGTGGTGGGCGAGAGTTGAGCGAGCCTCTTCTGCGTGTGGCGGCTGCCGCGAACGGTTGTCTGTAGCGTGGGTCCCCGGTGCCCGGCACCGCGGGCTTCGTGCCGGGGTCTCACGTGGAAAGTCAGGCGTTGGCGACGCTGCCTTGGGTATGTGTTAGTGTGTTGGGTGTGTTTATCATGTTATTGTGTATTTAGTGTGTCACTGCGTTATGTTGTTTGTATGGTAGCGGGTTAATTGAAATTGGTGTATCATTTGGCGGACGATATCGTCGTCTAAATTAGTTGATAAATGTATGTATGTTGTATGCTTTGTACCGACCGCATCTGCTGTGTCCGTTCACTCCAAGAGCGTGGCGTGGCGATGCGCTCGTTCGCCTCGCCGAGACCCCACAATATAGACGACATGATTGTGTCGGGAAAGGCAAACGACTGTGGGATCTTGGAGCAAGTGCTACAGCGCCTCAGGGAACACGGCCTGCGCCTACGACAGTAGAAGTGGAAGTTCTGGCAAGAGCAAGTCACCTTTCTTGGACACTGCATTGGCAGAAACAACCTACACTCCAAGAGCGACAACATCGCAGCACTGCTCGACGCCCCCCAGCCCAATCTACCAGCGCCCCTCTACCATGCCGTTTCGTGCAAGACAGCCGGTGTGGCTGAGAAGTTTCCACTGCTGGCCGAAATGGTTGTCCAGATTGGTAATCATTACCCAAGAGGCTCGGATGGCGACTGTGTTCACGGCGGACGGTGAGCAACGTCGTCATGCAGACCAACTGCGGCCGCGCACCCGGAAGTACTCGAAGACTCGGAAGCCAGGGGGCGCCACAACATCCACCACTACCGCTGACAAAACTTCACCCATGCCAGCTGGCATGGCTGGCCCCGCCCAGGCGGTGTCGCCGCCCTCTACCCAACCTGAGGCACCGCCACCGCTATGCCGGTCCAACAGGCTACCACCTCAAAGGCTCAATTGGTAAAGGCGAAGATGTGCTACGTCATGCAAGCGTGTCGCCAATCATGCCATGATGTCATCGTCTAGCACATAAAAAGCGAGACTTGCAAAATAAAACGTCTATTTCTTGCTTGGTTACTGAGCCGTTCACTCACGACATAACACCTTTGGGTTCAATTTATCTGGGATTGACTGATAAAACTTCGTTTTCATTTCTGTTGCCTGAGCTTGAAGCTCTCAGTTCAGGGCTGAGAGTTTTTTGCTTTGTATTTGTGCCACTTTGCTTGCATGGCGATATAAGCAAAAAGGTTTCTCCTGCATTTGACAATTGGCGCATTGCCGCAAAAGGCACGACTTTCAAATTTTGATGTTGTCCACGCTTGCCTACTTGCAACTGCTTAGCGTGGTTGCGAAACTCTGTTTTGACTTTCATTGTATTGTTTTGTGATATAATGGCTTGTTTTAACGTAGTTTTGATCGTCAGCGTCACTCATGATCATACCGAAATAACGTGAACAACTACATTAAAAAAAAATTATTTTTTCAAGGACTAAGGTTTATTACGCAAGTAACTCGCTAACTTGCCACTGGCAGGTACTGAACCTCGCTCACTGGTTGAGCTGCGGTGGCAGTCATGCTCTCGCCAATTTAATCAGGTGTAGCTGCGTGCATTTAATCTTTCCTTAGCAGTCATGACAGCAGTGGCTGCCTGCTGTGATCACGTAGATCGTTAATTTTCTTCTCATTAAAATCGCAATTACAAGAAACAACGGCCCCTATACTTTCCTTGGCTTGATTGTCTGTTAGGTCTAATTAATGTTGTGCTTAACAAAGAAAAGTGAGCTCTTGGCATTCCTTTTTTTTTTTTTTTTCATTCATTGATAGCAAGAGCCTCGTTTGGCAGACTTGAGGTATTATTCGTCAGTGGCCAGCTCATAAATAGATCACATGCTACGTGACGCCGATAGGCAGAAAAAGAGTGCTCCACACTCGCCTATTTATAAATAAATATTTGTTTATAAATAAATAAAAGTAACAGCACTTGGGAAGCCCAGGCAGGTTTATATCTAGGTGCCTATTAAGACGGCTGAAGTAAACCCAGAGCTTTCCATTTTGGTGCCTTCCGTGTGGTGCTTTCCGACATTAAACTACAAGTTTGAGCAGCAACGACCTTGTCGTCATCTATGTGATTGTCATGCACTTGCGTTCCAGCAACTTGTCGAATGCCTGACCTCGGGAGCAGTGGCGTGGGCACCAGATCTTAATGGGCCAACCCTCATTGACAAGGTGAAAACGCTGCTGCAAGGTCAGTGCACTGCCATCTTGGAAATGCTTCTCTCTTATTGCAGGATTCTCATTACTTAGCTCATTAACTTTTCAGAAATGCAATGCATACGGTACAGTTGAACGCATATCATAGTTGTCCAGGGTACTTCATGGCAACATTTACCATGGCATTTCATTTATTTTGCTGGTATTGATGTCAGACATCAGGAGAGACAAATTTATGCTTTGTGGTTTGTGTGTAGTTATACTGCATTTCAGGGAGGCACGGTGCTCACCAATAGAAACATTTTCTATCAGCTTCAGTTTGTGTCGTACTAGTGTAATTTTAACTTCAATATTTACGTTGCATTCAACATTACCTTCAGTGTTTCCGTTTGATTCAGCGTTGTTTTTAAGGTAGATCCGTACGCACAAGCTCGGATCCAAACAATTCTAAGTTACCTTTTATCTACTTATTCATAGCGCCATTTCTTGTTTATCTGGAGCTGTTGTACATATGTGTTGTTACACTAAAACTTCTGATGTGCCATTTGCATCCATGAGCGCTGCACATAACAATGTTCTTAATGACCGTTTTGGAGGTGAGCACTCATCTATAGACTGGCTGTTGCTTTGCTGTACTAAGCGCCATGAATGCCATTGTCCATGTGTGTTGAACACTCGCCCGTTGATGCCAACACAACTGGTGCTGACCTGATCAATGTGATCGCATCCCCAAAGCCATCAACAGAGGTTGTGTCTGCTGAGTGCCAGGCCAACAATGCCAAATGCTTATGCGATGCCTGCCGAGTCATACATAGGCAGTGCGGACAGTTGCTACGTGATAACTGTCCTCAGGGAGCACAGTTGATCACTGTGCTGCATAGTTCAGCGCTACTTATTGCTGCTGGGTGCTACTAAATATGAAAATCCATTTTTCGTGGTTTTCTTCTGCCTCACGACGCCTGCCTAGATGGAAACTTCCTGGACAGCAAGCTTTCATTGATATCTGTTAGGTTAGATATTGTTGAGGTCAACAACAGAACAATACCTGACGAGTGGCTCTTCCCTGTTAGGTAACTGGTAATTGCAGCACTTGTCTTGGCACCAAGATCAATTCTGCATAGTAAGCATGTGTTCTTGCTCTGCTCTCACAATGTAACAATGGCAACGCCGAGTACACGGTTGCACATGGGTCATTCCATGCCAAGCGTCCCAGCCACTCTAGTGACCATCTAAAATGGAAAGTAAACTCCCCTTAAGACGAACTCTGTTAACACAAATTCTTGCTTAAGACAAACAACACGGGAGTGTTTGTTTGGTTTCCCATATACTCAATGCAAAAAATATCTGCTTCAGATGAACCACGTAACATGCCTCTTCTGTTAAAACGAGCTATTGCAGCAACAGAAAATGACGGGGATTCTGTGCAATGGTCATTACAGTCTTAATGGGAGCATTTAGGTGAACAAGAGAATGCAAAATGAAAAAAAAAAAAAAGAAAACACCAAAAACAAAAGCACCTTCCTGGTGCAGATACAAAGCAGATTGAAAGCAAAAATAGAAATTTAAAGCAAATAGAAAGCAAAAAGAAAGCAAAGGGGGTATCTTCCTGACTCTTAGGCTGCAGGTGGATAAAGGCCCGGCTCAATCAGCAAAGAAAGCAACAAAAAGCTTCGGTCCTTTCGTGTTATCCTCGCATTCATTTATCAGGGCCAATGGCATTACAGAGAGGGTGGGGCAAAAAATACAGAAAATTGGAGGTAAAGTTCAAAAAAAAAAAAAGGTCACAAGACAAAAGAACAAAAAAATGCAGAAAAGAACTCACAGCAATTCCCAAGTACATTTCTAAAAGATTACAAGTAGTTACACAAATTATAGTGCCACAAAAAACAAAACAAAATACAAGATACGTTAAGTATAAACGAGAGTCAAAATTTGGTGTATCAATGAAGATAGACGTGTGACACAACTATAAATGGCGGTGCCTAGTTTAAAAGCAACGAAAACTTGGAGAAATATATCACATACAGCTACTTTAAATTGGTTAGTATCCAAGTGACATCTGTAGGAAGGTAATTCCACTCATCACTCGTGTGTGGCACAAATGAGTGAAGGAAAGAAGACCTACAAGATGGAATGCCTACTTTGTGTTGGTGATCAATGCGAGATATGTAATGTGGTGCTGAAAGGAGTTGGCATCGTAAAAAGAGGTGGTGATATATTCTATAAAAGAGAGAGAGGCACGCAATTTTACGTCATAAAGCCAGGGGTGGTAATTCTAGATTATCTTTTATTAAACTGATGCTAACGGTCCTGTTATAGTTAGATGAAATGAATCATGTGGATTGTTCTAAACTTTTTCTACTAAATGAATTAATTTATGCAGACTGGGGTCTCATACAGAGGCTGCATATTCTAGTTTATGTCGGATAAGTGTTTTGTAGAGAATTACTTTGAGGGATTGTGGTGCACATGAAAAATTTCGGCGAAGATAGCCGAGTGGTTTGTTAGCTTTGCTTGTTAGGTACACAATGTGCGTGTTCCAGGCAAGGTCAGATGAAATGTGGACACCAAGATATTTGTAGGATGAAACACAATCTAGAGGGGTGTTAGCGATATGATGGGCTGGTGAAGGATTAGTACGCCTGGTAACACACATTGCCTTGCATTTGGCTATGTTTAGTTCCATCTGCCAAGTGTTACATCATGCGCTGATAGCGTTAAGGTCAGATTGAAGAATGGTTGCATCATTGTCAGAAGTTATTTCTCTAAACATTACGCAGTCATCAGCAAAAAAATGAATATTAGATGAAACACAGGAAGGTAAGTCATTAATACAAATTAGGAATAACAGTGGCCCCAGAACAGAGCCTTGTGGAACGCCCGAGTAAACGGGTCTTGAGGGTGAATCAGAGTTGTTAGCTGAAACGTACTGAGAGCGACGGGACAGGAAGGATTCAAGCCAAATGAGAAGTTGGGGATCTATCTTAAGATGGCTTAGTTTGTGCATGTGAAGATTATGAGAGATTTTATCAAATGCTTCTGAGAAATCTAAAAATCTGCAGTCTGCAAAAGATAAGCGATCAAGAATGGCTTGCAGACGGTGTGTAAATGATGTTAATTGCGTTTCGCATGAATAGGATTTGCGAAATCTGTGCTGAGAGTGCGTGAAAAAAGAGTTCAATTCGAGATAGTTGGCAAGATTAGAAAATAATGCATGCTCGAGAAGTTTACATGGAATGCTGGTGATTGAAATGGGTTGGTAATTAAGAACCCGTGTCAAGCGTTTGTTGAAAGATTTTGGTTAGTATGATGGAACTGTAAACACTCAAGCTCTTCAGAAACTTCGGGTTAATTGTGTCACAACCAGTGGGAGAGGAAAGTTTTAATTTATTGATGAGGCATTCTACGCCACTCGGATCAATTATTATTGGATGCATTGGGGACAGATTACGACACTGCATGATCGATGGTAAAACACTGGTCGATGATGAAAAATTGGAAACAAAAACATCGTTAAGGACAGATGCACACTTTTCAGGGGCTATAATGTTTCCTGCGTCATCTACGAGGGTTAATGTGTTATTATCTTTTGATTTATGATACGCCAGAATATTTTAGTGTCCGTTTGAAGCATAGAAGGGAGGGTGTTTTTTGAAAAGTTCTCTTTTGATCTGCGAAGTACAGCAATATATTCATCTGAAACTAGTTTATGTGTGTTCCAATGATTAGCACAAGGACAACGTTTCACTTCACATCACTTGATTTGATTGATATGTGGGGTTTAACGTCCCAAAACCACTACATGATTATGAGAGACGCCGTAGTGGAGGGCTCCGGAAATTTAGACCACCTGGGGACTTCACATCACTTTATTTCCTTAAAGACCCCTCAAGGGGGTATTACATAAGGGGTGGGTATACAGTGTAGCCAGGTGACTTCACTCGGTAAGAAAGTTTGTTACTCTGTCCAGGAAGTTTGATGGATTAGTAATGGCTGCAATGGTGTGGGAAAGGCCACTCCCATCTGTTGCTGCTCGGGGGAAAAATGAAGAGGAAAATGTGAGGGTGCGAGCACGTCGGCGTGACACTTGCAGTTCATGTCCGTGGCGATGAGGTATGCGCGTAAGGTGCACGATGTAAGGTGGATGACTGAGATCACTGTAATAAAATTTGTGGAATAATGATAGCGTGGCTATACGACAACGAAGACAGAGATTAGACAAACGAGATTCCGCTTTCAGTGCTGATACGCTAGCTCGGTAATAATAAGTGTAATGAATGAATCTAGCAGCATTGTTTTGGACAGCTTCCAGGGCAGATGCGAGGTAGGACTGGTGTGGGCTCCAGATAGCGCATGCGTATTCCAGTTTCGGTCTGATGAGTGATTTGAAGGCTAGTAGTTTGACGTGCGTGGGGGCATGATGAAGATTGCGTTTCAGGAATCCTAGTGTTTTATTGGCAGATGCTACATATTTGTAATATGAGTGCGTCAAGATACCGTATTTACTCGATTCTACCGCGCCCTCGATTGCAACGCGTACCCATTTTTCTCGCTGGCCCGCACGATCACACCACTCGAAAAAACGACTCCTTTCGGGAGCGTCTTCCATCTAAATATGAGGTACGGGCGAAGCTTGTGCCCATCTGACGTCGTTGTAGTTTTACCGTGGACCGATGTCAGCACGCGAACTTGCTTCGCCCCCTTCTTCTCGACGGTTGTGGTGCCAGGCATGTCGATGTAAAGAGGCGTCTGATCGGCATTCCCGATTTGCCCAAGCAGGTGGCCGTTGTTGCGCCGCGAGTTTAGGACGAACCTCTGAAAACTGTGAAGCTTTTCATCGTACTCTTCCGCAAAACTTTTCGCATATGCATGTTCCCCTTCGGAGAGAAAAGCCTTTCCTCTTCATAAAGTTCGCTAGCCAGCACCTGCTCGCTTTAAACTGGCTCCGCATTAGACCTTTTTCTAACACTAATTGCATAGCCCGCACTTGGAGCAGTTCTTTTGTCACGGGCCGCTGTGCCGCTCGCTGCTCAA